CATCGGGACGAGGTCTTGAACCGGAACGACCACGGCGGGGACTAGAAGACTGGTGAGCGGCGAGGCGGGAAATTTGGAGTTTTAGAGAGGCCATATCGTCTGCCATGGCCGCCATTTGTTTCATTAGTTGCTCGTTCACATTGGGTGCTGGGGCAGTAGAGATTCTGGAAACTGATGATGGCTGGAATCTTTGCACTTCCAGCATCCTGTCAGCCATCTCGGAAAGCTTTGAGATGGTGAGACCCTATAAGCCGGCAGCCACTATTGTCTGGATATCGGCTGGGAGTCGCTCCAAGAAAATTTCTTTAAAAATCTTGTCGTCGATCTGGAGCTCGCCGCGATGAGCTTCCAGTCTTCTCAGCAATTCGCTGGGGTTTTCTATCGCCCAACGGTTCTTCTCGGATGAGTTGATTGCACCTCTGACGATCAGATACTGTGTGCAGGCGCCGGAGGGCCGCCTTTAATTCTGTGTATGGTTCTTCAACGGATGGATTCTTGATTGTGGATTGCACTTGTGACAAGACTTGCAAAGGCAAAGCCTCAATCAGCCTGTCACTTCCTTGGTTATGTTCGCAGAGTAAAAACTTAACATGATGCGAAGGAAGTACAATTCTGGCGCATTTGGCCAGTATTCGGGAAGCGTCAGCGCGATGGTGCATATTGAGTCCTCGTTCGGCATATTTGTGACAGGGACGCGTCAGAAAATTCGCGCAGTTGAGAAAGGCAATCGAGGATGCGATCCCAGGCCAAGAACACGTCAAGCCAAGCCGCGCCGTATACACTGAATATGCGAAAACGACTACGTACCCCGTCTAGTGAAGAAGACCAATAGGTAGAAAATGTCCGCCATTGAATCAACATGCAAGCGAGTTAAAGTGTTGCGGGAAACGGTTGTTCACTAACTTAAAAAAAATTTATAAAGGCAAGTTACAGAAAGGCGTACTGGCAAGAGTTAATCTAGAAAGTTATGTACAAATGAAAATATGGCCAAGTTGTAAATGCGTACAAGTTTGGCAAAGGGCTTCCACAGATCCGTGTGCGCAGTCCGAGTTCCAGCCGATGTGGGGCGCGTCAGAGTCACCCACGATCAGGATATCTGACCCTATAGCAATCTTTTCAACCTATTCTAACAAGTTAGCATACACTACGGGCTCTCTTCTCTGTGGTCAGTAGAGGACATCGAGGCTTGATACACCTAATACTTTATGGACAGCCAGATCTCCTCGGAATTACGCGTTGTGAAAACGAATGGCTGCAGACATCCAGATGGGATAAGGTTTCGGAGTTTGAGGGAATTTCCAAGAAGATTATTTGATGTGGCAAATACGAAGAAGTTATCAAACTGAAGGGCACAGTCCCGATTCCTTACGAGCCAGTACGTCTGATTTGCCTGTACGCAAGAGGAAAAAGGTTAAGTGCTTCTAGTTTACATTCGTAAGATGAGGACTTTAGGCCCCTCACAATTTTGTTGCTCTCCTTTGGATTCTCTCTTAGAGCTGGCAGTCTTTTTTCAGCAATGGGCGCCACGCGTGAACTCCATATTCGAGATGTGAACGAAAAAATGTGCCAAATATTTTGTCAGTTAGTTATTTCCTTTCACAAGGGAAAATTACCCCCGTTATAATAGTAAGAATGTTTACAAAGCTTTTAAAAAAACGGAAAGATAACAATTAAGAATCCTAAGACAGTAATATTGCTTGTATTATATAATACACCATTATGATAATGTATGTGCTGATATGGTTTTGAATCCATCATCTGGTACACTTATATGGATTCACAGCCAAAATACCAGCTGTTGACCTATGAGTACTCGATCTGTAGCCTAGACGACAAGGGGGATACACTTTGTACAAAAGATCAATATAATGAAAGGGGCCAGGACGGACGAAAACCTTGAGATGACTTATGCATCTCTTCAATAGCGCATCGGAGGATATATAGGCCGATGAATACTCAAACGGGACCTCATCTGTAGCCCTCTCTAGCTCCTTTCGGACGTGCGTGTTTAGAAGAACTAGATAAAGCTTATGCTGGCGGGGAACACACACAGATATACCTGATGGATAATTCTAGACATAAAAAGTTCATTTTAGCCTGTGTTATGTTAAACTTTGAAAAACTACCACCAATAATTTGAAGAGACAAAGTGGTCTTATCCCAATGCCTAGGGAAATTTTCGATAACTGTCCGTAAATTACACTACTCTCGCCGCGACATTGTGCACGCCAAAATGCATCCACGATCGATTGCTTTTGTCCTTCAAGTTCGCTCTACAGGCTGGACGATAGTGTTCCCGTCGAGGTTTTCTTCCCGTAGTTCCGTGCGCAACCAGCCAAAAAATGCCGCTTTATTTATTATTCATTTGAGACCATTGCCTTACTAAATGCACACCCTTTGACCGTTTGTAAACTACGGATACAGACAAACAAGTTTCAAACTCAACGACTCACAAACAATTATATACTTTTCTTTACGTCCGATTAGTCGTTCAACGACCTAAAGAAGATGGTTCTTGCGGTCGTCCTAAGGAACGCCTTCTCTCTCAGGCTTTTGAAGTATGGAGTGAACTCTTTAATGAGACAGTCTTTTCGGAAACGGTCAGACCATTAAAATTCCAACAAACGCTCGTTAATTTTGAATGCATTTACTATAGAACCAGGATTATACCAATGGCGGCCCCTTGCGCATGACTTACAGATACCGATGACTTTACAGTAAAATTAATTCCATTGCTCTTTTGGATATTAATAAAGAAATCAGGCGTTAAAGCCTATAAAAGTTAACAAAAGAATTTAACGTGTCCTTGATCGAATGTAGCAAACGTTCTGGTCTCCTCGGTTTTCTCGTTACTAATTAGCGTCGATGGTTTTGTCATATTGGGCACGCAGGCGCTTTTTCAATTAAACTTCACATTTATCACTGGTGGACATGGGCAAAGTAACCGGAAAGGTCTCCGCAAAGCTCTTTTGGATTGTGTTTATTGTGGCGAAATTTTTCTTTTCTTTCACATGGGATTTATCATTCTATGTGGCCTCCGTCGCCTACTTAATTACTGGCGGTTGGCGATTTGTGCGCATCTTTCTGTTGACTATTCGCCGCGATATTTTGTGAGTTACTCTATTATAATTTTTTGAATTTCTACATTTCGGTAGGTAATTATAGATTTGTTGCAATCTGCGTGAGCGTCCAGAAACTCCAAACTTTTCAATCTGTTCACATATATAGTGATTTTTATTCAATCGAAACCTAATATCGGCGATAGTTTTTTCTGTAAGGGCCGACGAGTCTATTTAGCAGCACGTTTATACCTTACAAAGTGAATTCGTAGATCTTTATGGAACATCTTGATTTATGGAGCCAACTTTATTGTTTTAAATCCAAGTTAGCCCAGTTATCATTTGACGAATTTACTTTTTCCGCCATATTATGTTTGCCATTATTTTATATTTGTTTAAAAGTACATATTTTTATCATTCACATTATTTCGCTTTCTCTTGTTATGAAGCGTTAAGTTATCATCTCAACTTCTCCTTTATCTTTAATTTTTTCTTCCTTGTTTAAAACAAACCTGTCCTTCCCTGTTCACAAAATATGATAACATCCCCGTTAACTGTCATATCTGCGTCACCTCCACCCCTTGTACCATTAATTACCAAGTTAACTTCACAAGTTGCGACGGTTATTGTGCTTTGGTTCACCCGTCGGGCTACCGCTGGTTGATAACACTGATTGTGCCTGTTGGCTTAGAAGCTTGTAGACGCCCCATTAATTAATGACGATAACCAAGAAAAAATTCTCGCGAGGAACTTTAGAAATAATCTGAGTCTCATCAACCATAAGACCCTCTTTCTTATACGTTAGGAACTACGTAACGGCTTCCTACAATGTTTATTAGACAGGCAATGCTATATAATTGCCTGATCTCAAAATGGAAAATGGATGTAAGTGCTCACATGTGTTCAGCCCCCTAGCATAGATAGAAAAGGAATGTGACAGCAATTTCCTACGGCGAACTAAACTCACTCTTGACCACCTGAACCAGGTTGGTTTGACATTTAAGAGAAACCAGGAAACGCATCTACCTTATCCGACATACACTATCCACAACGTTTGTGATTTATTATAAGCTGAAGACGTTAAGCCTGTCTGTCTGGGTTGGCCAAGTACAACGATGTCGTCATCTAAGTAGATCGCATACGATCAGGGAATCACAACACAAATTTTTAAAGCATCAGCAAAAGGGGCTACTATTTACCTTACGAGCCTCGCTTCAGAATTATATTTCGCCCACAATCGCACCCTAAAACGCGTGTTGGAGTAAAATTATATGGCAGAAAAATTTGGTGATCGATAATGATGATGACCAATTTCTTTTCACGGCCATGTGTGTAGCTGCTAACAGCAAACAGTTCCAACTGCTCGAATTACGGTCTGATGGTCGAAGAAAATGCGTCCCCTTTTCATCGTCATTTACTATGTTGGCAGAGGTGCTTCAACTAGTATGAAACGACATCGGCTGACTGTCCTAGACTACGCTGACGATATCATACTATGATATGCTTCAAACAGCTCGTAGCTGATATCATACTCTTTGTAATTCCAACTTTAAAAATACCGCTGACTGTCGAGTGAAAAAAAACAGTAAATAGGGGTAGATAAAAGGTCAAGCTCACGATATGTCGCGTTATAACTCCATCTACATATAGTAGCCTATTTTGAATCGTGAAACAAGTGGAATTTTGCTGATAGTAAATTCCAGTGCCTTTTTAAAAGAGCAAAGCATACCAACTAATTGTGACACTTACCATTTAGCTAAGAAGGATACGCTACGCACTCTACCTTTATATCTTCAGCTTACAACTACATTCACGTAACGGCCCCATGCGGTTTCGAAAGCATCGATTATGCATAAATACAGCTAACTAACCCCAATTACGCCGACAATACCCTCCGCTGTTGCCAGGCTGTAAGAACCTACAGAATGCATCATCTCGTATAAACAGGCTCTTTAATTCAATCGGTTTATCCGTAAAAAACACCGCTAGAATAAGGATTCTTCCGTGTCACTTCTCCAGCTATGAGAGGCTCCTCATGATAACTGTGAAAAAACGGACAGTGCAACGGACTGTTTCAAGTAGTTTGGTGCAAATTTGCCGCATCTTCTCATGCATTGATTCTATTCGGAAGATTTCTGTATTCTTTTGAGGGTTCCTTTAAAGTGGACTATATTGGCTTCGTTCTCAGCGAGATCGTTTGCATTCGCTGCGATGGCATCGCGAGAATATTTTGGATTCTGAGACGAACATAAAGATTTTTTTGGAAACGTCCCTCAGCATTCACCTTATGAGTTCAGTATTGATAACCATTATGATTGGATACAGAAGTCAGCTAGCCGCGGTTAGCCAGATAATTCGTGGGTCCCAGTGATCGGAAAGGAAAGTATCTTGAGTATTCTAAATCCACTGTTGCAAATCGTCTTGTTTCTATGCAGGATAGCATCCACGTCGACTAGATCCGTTGACATCATAGTTCTGGCTATAAGAACGATACGGCAGCTATTGTACTGATATTCCGTAGGATTCATGTACGAATATTGACGTCATTCCAAATGTAATGACACATCCTCTAGAGACCCTTTTCAGGGTGATTGACTGTTAAGGCTACGTCATTGTATTCTGACACAGAATGTGACACAGTTGCCATTCTATTTCGCCAAGGGAGGGGAGGGGGAAATTGTGTTAATTAGACATCTGTGACCCTACACGGAGTTTCGCAAAAATCGTTGGCGGAGTCTCGATACGGAATGTTTCCTTACTGACAGTCCATCTTCATTTTCACTTGCGTGTGCTGCGACCTGTTTTATCCGTCATACCCACCCAGAGTCCGGGATACTTGTCCATTTTCGACATCAACCAAATTTGACCCAGGACTCTGCATAACTGATGTTATTTCAGTCCGTCGTCACACAGACGTCACCATGAACAGCTTCGGTAGTCTTTTGACCCATTTGGGCAGCAATCGATGGCTCCGGTGATATTGAAACCTGCGCCAGCAACGGAAAACTTTAGTACAGTCAAGGCTCTAGCCAACTGAGCTAGGAGGTCCCATCGGCAGCCGTGGGTTTAACCACATTTGGGTACTGTTATCCGCTCAGTTTATTGCAGCTTATGGAATGCACCAATTCTGATAAAAGCAGGATTTCCTAATCAGTCAAGGTGGAATCTACCAAATGACTACCAGGTGAAATTAATTAGTAGGGATTTTGGCAGATTTGAATAATTAATTTGATCCAGTTGTGAAAAAAGGATAGTTTCGAGAATGGCCTACTCTGTATAGGGGACGACCGCTGCCGTCTAAAATATCCGGTTCAGTTTCTCTAACGATGACCTGATTAGAAGACTAATAAACCTAATATGACTGGCTGACGACGGCGAATGAGCCACAAATTGCCATTCCAGTTACCCTTCTCTTCTCCAGCAATACTATCTGCCTACTACCAGCTGTTACGCCTGTCAGAGCCTCTGTCAAGGCTCAAGACAGAGCGGGACAGATGAGTTCCGTTAGTGGCTGGTTCAACGTTCATTAATGAGACCTAATCCTGCCTAATTCGGGTGAACCGGGATCGAAGGGCTGACCCTCACACAACTCCTAAAAATCCATTTGGGTGGGCAGTAAACTGCACCATCTTTCGACTCTCCTCCATTAACAAAGGCTACTGTTATCGGGTGAAATAAACTGCTCCTCATTCAGGCGTACTGGTGCAAACATAGATGCGGCGCACATACAGACAGGGCCGGCCACTGCAACTAATATTCATTCGAATCGGCTTAATTCAAACCTGCGGGCGGGGAAAAGGAACGGTAAAAGGTGGTCTGACTCAAATCTCCACACACTTATTTTCATCGGCATAAATAACTTTGTGGACTATCATAGCGTGCTATACAGCGTTTAGCCTGGAAGCTTGCCAGCTGACGGAATAACCCGACTCATGTCCAACCGAAGCACCTTTCAGAACATCTGACAGTCCCATTTTTAGTTTTGATGGTATACACATTTGTACCAAAATATGTCTGACACGCAGAGAAAAGGATTCCGCCTCGATAGTCCTGATACTTGCATCTTGGCCTCGCCTTATCGTTGTAACAGGAAGAGGGGAAAGTGCGGTAGATCCTGCGAAAGTCCTCGACTACCATTTAATTCAGGTGGTCCCCATAGCCTGTGCCAGACTCACTGTCTATAGATCCACCATGTAAAGGGTTCTTTAGCGTCCGAAAAGTCTTTGAAATCGTATTAAAACCTGCAATGTCACCAGAATTTGAGCCAGGAATGCTGTCCTGCGCCTTGGGTTTACAAATCTATGAAAGCACTGTGCAATGTCAACCGACAAATAATTAACCCCATCGTTCACAGACACGGCATCTAAGTGATCATTGCGAAAGTTGTTTGAGTACTGTCTTCTTAGACCTTTAAACAGTTGTGGATTTGTTACTTATTGGTATGCCAAATTGGAAGAAAACTCGTCATGCATCAGTGCGCATAGAAACGCCGCAGAAAATTGTTTTTCTTAAAGCCGGCCGGTTATCATCATGGCTAAGTCAAATTAATTGTTGGCCAATTGACGAAAATGACCGAACATTTCATGCTAAGTTCTATCGTGTCTGAATGGCTCAACAAACCTACTTTATTACCTACTATCAAGAAAGTTAGTAGTAACTATCGGAATAATTCTGGGTCAAATATTACTCTAAAACATGTTAATCGGCTCTGTGGGATGCTTTCAGGTAGACTTCCAACAATTATCTACTTTACACTCCAACCCTCGGTTTCCCTCCTAAAATTACTGTTTGTTTTCGGTTCCTCATGCTTTTTAATAATTTACAGAGACCTCTATTTGTTAAAGTGAACTCTTACGACTGCAC